GTCTGCGACGGCGGGCCGATGTCCCCGACCAAAAGAAAGGGCTTTGTCGGGCGTAGCTCAAAGTCACTCGAAAGTGTTCGAGGGGGCGGAGCCCCGAAAAAAAAATGACGATTTTGGCTTATTTTAATCGGTGTTGGGGTCTACTAATATGTAAAAAGTACATAATAGGCCTATACATTTTTTCCCTCCCCGACGAATTGTTGGTTTTCTCGCTGACGGGGTCGGGGAGCCTCCCGCAGCTCTCCCCGACGGGGGCCTACCGCCACTTATCCACAGAAAGATTACCGCTTGTATTCTCCGGCGTCATAGTTCACTAAGCAACACGCTGAGAGCTGTTCAGTGATTGCATGATTCCATCGCCCGATGTGACGTCTGTGCAGGGAATGAATCATATTATCGACTATAAATCATATATTATGTTAAATTCCATAGTATGAAAATAAGGATAACTATATCTTTTATGCCAGAATTTATTTATCACTTACATTTATTAATATTAAAGAATATATGGAAATAACATGCATTGTTATCTTTAAATTTAGACTTAAATAAAATATTATATAGGTTCTTTTTTGTGGACCTATGCAAAACTTATTCACAGTTCATAGGAAATTTCTTCAGGTCAATTCTGCCGTGTCTACAGTGTAGTAGTGAATAGTCGGCTGGATTTGTAGTGTTGCTAGATAGCATCTCTCGTTTGTACATCGAGTTACTATTTAGAAACAGTAAACAGATAGAAGTAAGTATGTTTGTTATATTTACATTTCTGCAATTAATTTCAATATTCTGCCTTTAAAGGCTGTTGATGGATAATTTTCTGTGTGCTGGTGTGATTGAGAAGTCTTGCCTTTGCGCGGCGTACGGTTGTTGCACATATGCGATGGGTCATTGTCTTTTTTAAATTATCACGACAAATATTTGACATTAAAAATATGTATAACGAATAGGCCTAGACCTAGGCCTAATACTACTAAGTCTACATAAAATATGTACAAGGTTCGTAGCTGTTTATTTTGGAAACTAGAAGTAGTCGTAAGATGGGAAGATGCATCTGAGTGTGCTATCTATCACCTGCAGTGAGGGGATTTGAGATATTTTTCTGGTTATTTTGTTCATAATAATGGCATATCATTGATTTTCCATGATGAAACAATGTTATGCATGTGCATATGATGGAGCTATTGATTTCATACTTTTCACAGGGTATTTTCCCACAGGCGACTGTGATTGAATTTGTTCTGAGGCCTGGACCTGTAGTCCTGTTGTTATTTAAAGAATCAAAGCCACTCCCTCATTTTGGATATGTGCTAATTATTAATTTTGTTAATTTAATACTTATCTGGTTTTTTTTTTATAAACTGTAAATACAAAATATAGGCCTAGAGTATATTTTTCTCATCTTGGTTATGAATCCAACCCATATTAAATGCTTAGGTTTCTGAGGAAATCCATAGATATTTCTATATTTTTATTATTTAAACTTTTATTTATTTAAAGTTATGGTTTTCTTGTCCAAATTTTTTTGAAAAAACGAATGATTTCACTTTTTTAAAACTCCGAAATGGTAAATCCAAGATTGTTGATGGGAAACAGCTACTCTTTCTCACTTTTACCAAGTAGACACATTGAAAGCAAATAAAAGAAGCACTAGACAT